CTAGTGCCTGTGCATCTCGTCTGCTTCGGCTCGACCCTGGGGACGTGTCCCCTGCTTCCACCCAGCGCTTTGGTGGCTGAGTGGTGGCACAACTTGTGGTGTTGTCCGCACTCAGGTTCTTCAATGGTCCCGCCTCTTCTTGCCTGGCCCCTACCCCTCCTGGCTCTTCCCAGAGCAGCTTCCCAAAGGCTGTGCCCGGACGAGAGCTCCCGGCGTTCCCCATGCAGCTGAGCCCCGTTCCTCCAGGCTTGCTCGGAGCCGGGCTCCGCGGCCGCGTTTGCAGGTCCCCATCAGCCCCGAGATGCAAACGCAGCACTCGGTGCAGCCAGGGCACCGTCCCTCGCCACGGCCCTGCGGTGACGGCACTGCCCGCTCGTGTTGTCAGGACTGTGGTGGGGCCAAGGGCGCCCCGCTCGGCCCAGCCAGCCCTTCCCTCCCAACAGCAGCAGTTCTGGGGCCTGGCACCCCGCTCCGCCGGCCAGGGCAATCACTAGAGGGCATCCTTGGATTAAAATGCTCCTCTCCGGCGGAGGCAGCGATGTCCCGCCGCGCTGAGCTGGAGAGCGGCCGGCAGCTCCACGGGCGCCTTCCCGGGAAGCGCCCGCGTGTGGCCGGCGCTGCCAGCTCCTTCCAGGGCCACCGCTCGCGTTCGGCGCGGGCAGCCCCGCGTTCGGCGCGGGAAGCTCGCGAGCGCCGCGGCCATCGCAGCCTCCTGCACGAGGAGGGCATTGCAAGGGCAGGTGGTGGGTGCAGCCTCCCCTGGGCCTTCCTGAGGGCGAGGGGAGGGCACAGGCCCTTCGCCCGTGGTGCCTCCGGGCTGTTCCGTGGGTCTCCCTGCCGCTTGCTCCAGGGTGAAGCTCTTGCCCCTGTTTTAGTTGTTGGGAGACCAAGGAGGCAGTGGCTGCGTCACGTAGGAGACTTGGTCCAGGGGTGCCGCTGGCATCTGCAGCGCCTCCCCTCTTTCCTCCATCCCTTGCTCAGCGTGGCAGGGGGGGATGCCGTTTGCATCCGTCCCTGAGGATTTGCTTTCAATGAGCTTTTCTTAGGGCCCGGAGAGGCAAATCCGGAGTGGCCACTTGCTGTAGGCCTGGCTGGGGGGAGCAGGGGCGTCTCCAGCCCCTCGCCACGTCCTCGGGGCTGGTCTGCAGTGCGGGTTGTGGGTCCTGCTGAGTGCAGCAGCCCCTTCGTCATAGCTGGGGAAGGATGCGGGATTTCAGCCAAGTGCCACACGTGGGTTTTCAGGGCTCGTATCAAACCCAGGTCTCGCTAAAACACGTGGGAGCCCGTTTTGACAGCTCCGTGCTTCTAATTTGGGCGCCGGCGTGTTGGGGCAGAGGGTTTTGCTTGCACAGAGGCTGCTGCAGCGAGGAGCCCGCGCTGCGAGCGGGGCCGGCCCGCGGCCCAGGCCGGCACCAGGCTCCTGCCGAGCATCCCGCGGGAGCCTCGTGTTTCCCCTGCTGCTGCCAGGGCCTGGGTGGACCCGGGTGGATCTGCTCAAAGCCCCGTGTTAGCCAGGAGCAGGATGGTTTAATAAATCATTGCCGTCCCGAATTTCAACTTCTCACTGAAATCCCTCTCGCTTGCAGTCCCGCCGGGGGAAGGGAGGTCAGGGAAGCCAGCCCTCCCCAGCATCCTTCTTCCTGCAGCTGTTGAAACAAAATCCAGAAATAATGTCACAACCGCGGCCCTCCCCGGAGCAGCGCGGCGCGGTTGGTTCACGGCAGCCGGG